AAGCAAAGAGAATAGACCCATTGCCCTTTCTAACTTGTTCTGCTGCTGCGGGATTTTTTGCTCATCCAAAAAAACAAACAAGTCCACATTTTTGAGCTTCTCGCAAAACTCTTATTTTCAAGCTAAACTTCTTCGAACGAAAACTAGCCCTACTTTTTTAAAAATCAAAAAACTTACCAGCGGTAATAGCAAAAAGCTGATCCTTTTCTTTTTGTTCAAACTTCATGATGTCGAAAGCTTCCTGAACAATAATTGGTGATAGATAAGAAAAAGTCCATCAACATGTATTTCATTAAACTTCAAAATTTCATCTAACATTCTAAGTGAAAAAATAGAACCTGAAAATCCAAATGATCACATCCCACGACAAAAGCAAAAAGATGAAAGCTAAAAAAAGTTGCAGAGAGTGATCTCTAAAAGATAGATGCATGATTCTTGCACCAAAGTAACCAAAAAATAATTTTTCGAATGTCTCTCCCTCCTTTTTGTTCCTTGCTAGAACACCCACAAAAGTTCAACCTTATTTTTAATCATGATTTCATGACCTACCATTTTAGACTAAGAGAAGCTAATAGTGATCGGAAGTCTCTACGAACAGGAATTTCGATTTTTTGAATTCGACTTACTGATTTTGTTCCAAAATGAATTTTTTCAAATGCAGAAAATACTACCTTTCATATACATATCAAAGAGCATATTGTGTAAACTGATTAGTGTTTGAGTATTTTCTTTTTTTGGCACTAGAATTGTGCATCAACCTAATAGAAGCCACGGCAACTTCGCTCATGTTCCCCCGATTTTTTTGCTGGAAGTTTAAACTCACATCTGTAAGTAGCATCTCTTCCTTATCATTTACACCATCGATTGTAACTTCAGCTTGAGCCACAAAATGATAGTCTTTTATGGGGCGAGTGAGCATTAGCTTTTCTGAAATGTAAGATGGCCCGTTTTTGGAATAATCATAAAAAAATAGTACCTTTCAGCCCTTGAATAGCCCCAGAGTACAGTTGATAGAATATGTGGTAACATCGTTCTCCGGGAGCCTGCTTGATTACTCTGGACTTTTCCAACAGATCTAAATTTTTCACTCTAATTCAAAAATGCGAATAAGGTGGTCCTCAACGTACAGTGTTCAATGTCTCCTCCGGCAAGCTTTCCAGCTCTGTT